CCCAGTGCGACCGATGGTGGCCGCTGGACATCAGCGTGTCGGCGAGGGCCGGGGGCAGGCAGGGTAGAGATACGATGACCAGCGACCACGCGATCCTCCCGGACAAGCCCGGTTATACGCGCCTCGTTGCGAATTATCGTGCGAACTAATCGCGGGGCATGCGCCCGCCGCGTCGCGGCCTCGAAACTCACTCGAACCGACCGAAAGCTGCTGAGACTTGTGCCCGACGATTGTTACATGACACGGGCCGTCTATTATGCCTGGTATCCGTGGGGACGCCGAATTCTGACCACCTGGACGAATATACGTAGGAACGTGTACTGGGTGTTTCACTTGTAATCAACACCTCTACTATTTTTCAAGCGGTATTGAAAGTGAGAGAAAATTGGCGAGAGAAGTTTTTATTTCTTTTTAGTGTTTAAGATCGTAATGGCACAGGTCAGAGGTTAGAAGCTTCCGAGAAGTACCGTTCAATACGCAAAACAGAATTTTGAAAAAGGAGAGAATCGCAGAGTGGTTTAATTCGGCAAGGTGAACGTTCTACGAAGACGGTGTTTGATCCCGATTTCGATGAAATCGGGTGTGGAGGGGGGGCAAAGTTGAAGGGACACGCGGTTTTTGTCCATCCCGCGAAGGCTCGAGTTCGGGGGATGAAACTACCCTCGAAAGTTTCCCTCCTCTAACGCTGGCTTAAAAACTGTTAGAGGTGGAAAAAAGCTTTTTACAGCAAGCTGCAGGATTTAGATTAAAAAACTTAAAGAAAGGAAGAACACTTTCATCCCCTTCGTTATTAAAATAGTACGACCACCTTTGCATTAATTCCCTACCATTAGCGACAGCCCTCTCTCTCTCTCTCTCTCTCTCTCTCTCTGTTAACTTTAGAACAGCAACGACATTTTCGATCTTGTTCTCGCCACCAACAAGACCGATGTTCCAACCGTAGAAAAAAGCTCGATGGATTCTACACAATGTGTACCACGGGTCCGCCATAAAAAACGAACACGCGTTTTCACTTAAAGGAACAAGGGTCGCCTACTGTTCTTCCAAACAGCCTCGCTTAGAATGATTTCCCGACGATTCTCCACGGTCCCCTACTCTTACTTTTTCCACACTTCGGGGCGCGATAATAATCGATATAAACGAAACGATTCGGAAGGTGAAACGCGCGAGGGCTGGGCCGATTCGTTTTGGCAATCGGTAACGCGGTTTCTCCATTATTCGCAGCCACGCTGGAAATTGAACGTCATTTGATTTCGCTGCAAGGAAATTAATTCTGATGCGACCGGGACGACGGGATCGTATGCGCTCGAACCGTAATCTAGGTTACGCTTCGCGGAGAAAGGGAATGGCTGATGGCCGCACGAGGCAAGGGAATAATGGTGGAAAAACGATGGGAAAAAGTTGGAGGACGGAT